CAAGAGAAGAAAAGTCAGTTACCTATGAGGGAGTACCCATACAACTGTCAGCTGATTTCTCAACAGAAACTTTGCAGGCCAGAAGGGAGTGGCAAGAAATATTCAAAGTGATGACTGCCAAGAACCTACAACCAAGAGTACTTTATCCAGCAAAGCTATCATTCAGAATTGAAGGTCAGATAAAGAGCCTCACAGATAAGAACAAGCTAAAGGAGTTCATCACTGCCAAACCAGTATTATATGAAATGCTGAAGGGTATTCTTTAAGAAGAGGAGGAAGAAAAAGGTAAAGATAAAAATTATGAACAACAAAGTGACAACAAATACATATCTATCAACAAGTGAATCTAAAAATTAAGTCAATAAAAAAATCTGATGATCAGAATAAACTGGTGAATAGAATAGAATCAGGAGCATGGAAAGGGAGTGGATTGACAATTCTTGGGGGAGGGGGTATGGGGGTGTGGGAAGAGATTGTACAAAAATCTTACACCTATGGATGAGGACAGTGGCGGGGGGTAAGGGCAGTGGGTGCGGTGGGAACCAGATGGAAGGGAGCTATGGGGGGAAAAAAGAGGAACATCTATACTGATCTGAACAATAAAGATGTATTTTAAAAAAATAAGTTTCCAAAAAAAATCCCCAGAGCCTGCATGATGTGCCTCTCTGCGTCTTTGGCACAAAGTTTGATTGCTGAGTTTTTTGCCCCCCCCTCCCCACCCCCCCCAATTCTGTACTGGAAGTGAGTGCCTCATTAGCTTCCCCCAATCTCGGGGCGCTGAGCAGCTGTGACAGGCCGCTGGGTGGGTGCTGAGCAGGCACCTCCCTCCTTCAGCAGAGGCTCAAAGTACCCAAAGGCCAGCAACGACATGGATGTGGGAGGCAGGATACCAGCCTGGGGTCATCTACAGGGCAGCCTGGGCAGGAGGGAGGTCTGAGAGACTGGAGGACTGCCTGGAGTAGGCGGCCCTGGGATGTGCTGCTGTGGGCAGAAGCCAGGATGCTGGCAGTGAACATGTGCAGAGGAGACTCTGCTAGTGGGAAAGGGTGTGAGGGCCAGAGCAGTCAGAGGGCATCTTCTGCCCCCCCATCCCCCACCCCCACTGGGGCCAGTAGGAAGGAAGGTTCGCAGCCCTCTCCTCCCTGAGGAGGCTGGCGGACCTGCAGCCCGGCCCTCCGAGGAGGCAGGTGGTGACAAGATGTCTTAACTGAAGGCAGGGTAAAGTATGCTTTAATAGAGAAGGCAGATCCCTTCTAAACACAGAATTAAAAATGTGACTGATTTTAAAGATTAAAACCATGACCTTAGGACTCAAGGCAGTTGTGCAACTTCCCCTTATGACCCATCGGAGGGTGGCCGAGAGACCTCCATGCCCAGTGCCCTGGGTCCTGCCACTGAGGGCCCTGAGAGTGTTGGTTGCTCACAGGGACAGAAAACACGGGGCTGCGCGGTTTTTATGCTGCCCCAGGAACACACTTCTCCCCAAGGGCAAAAAGGAACTTGCGTTTTCGTTCCAACTCCATGGCTGTGCTGTCACAGGAGGATGGACGAGGGATGGAGGGATAAGCAGAGAGTGAAAGGCCAATTAAGTGGTTAAGGAGAGTAATTCTCTCTAAATTAACCCCATCCTTATCAGCCGGTTAGTTAAGCAAATTGCTATTGCCAAGGACAGCAGTATGTGGAGGGCAAAGCTCAATGTCCAACTGACTGAGGTGTTCAGGGCCTTATCTGCACCTCAAAGGTCCCTGTCCAACAGTGGTGCGCCCTGAGGAGTGATCCTGCCCTGATGCCGCTAGGAGATAGGGCACACACGGCCCCGCTGGCACCGTGGTCTGCTGGCTAAGCTCCTCTGCCCGCTGCCTGGGCGTCACTACCTGCCGCTGCTTCTCTCCACGCCAGTCTTGCTCTCGGTCTTCCTCTTCCCGATGGTCTCCCAAACCCCTCCTGTATTTGGTGCCCAGTGAAGCTATGTGTGTACGCACATACACACACCTGTGTGCGTGGGACCATATGAAATATGCACATGTGTGAGTGTACACGCGCACACTTCAAGCTAACAGAATCCCATGCATTGCCGCAGTTCTGTCCAGCTGGTAGGGTTAGGGGTCCTTGACTCATTGTTTTCTTTATGCCTCTTAATACTTCCTTGTGAAAGGCCACGGCCAGCGTGGCTTTCGGGCTCGAAGGCTTGGAGAAAGAGCTGATGTGCAAATTGACACACAAGACAAGAAATATTAATTTTGAAATTATGGGGGGAAGTCAGGGAAAAACTCAACTGTGTTAGTCAGGTGCCACTGAGTCTCCGTTCCCAGCTGCTTTTGTTTACTAGAAGACACAATTGCCTTTTAGGAATGCACACAGACATATCAATGGTAATGTTTAGTAAACAATAAGATTATCAGGTTTGAGGGGAGTTTGCTTTAGGCCATTGAGTCAGCCGTAGGTAATAAAATACAAATTCACCCTGTGAATATCAAAGGAGTCCATGTCAGCCTTCTGCTGGACTCCTCACATTTATATTAATTACTGTTGATCTTGGTTTCCAGCACTTTCTTACATGCATTGACCACTCCTTAACCTATAATTTAAATTTTTTTCTTTTTTAAAATATATTTTTATTGATTTCTGAGAGGAAGGGAGAGGGAGAGAGAGATAGAAACATCAATGATGAGAGAGAATCATGGATCGGCTGCCTCTTGCACAGCCCCTACTGGGGATTGAACCTGCATCCCAGGCATGTGCCCAGCCCAGGAATCAAACCATGACCTCCTGGCTCATAGGTGGATGCTCAACCACTGAGCCATGCATGGCTGGGCTAAAAAAATTTTCTTAATGATGTAAATGAGTATTTAATGAAATGGGAAAATGTTATGATAGTTGTTCATTTTTAAAGTGTTTACAAAACAGTATGTAAGCTATGGCTCCGACCAGCTTTGAGGCCGAGTATCTGCAATGGGGGGGCCTAGAAGGGGGCCCCTCAATTCAGCTGAAGGGCGGGAACCCCCTAGAATCGGAGCAGCCAGCGAGGGCCCTGCTGCTGTTACTCACCGTTAGCTACTCATGTGAATCTCTGCACGTTTTGGGGCATCTCTGCCCTCACACCTGGGCGTCTCTTGGAGAACAGGCTGCCAGCACCGCGACCCAAGAGTGTGAAGGACAGTCCACGTGGAGGAGGCAGCAGGTGCGAGGTTAGCCCAGCCACAAGCAGGCTGTCAGTGGGAGGCTGGCTTATTGGACGTGGCATTGAGCGGCTTCTTACGGGCCGGGCTGAGCAAGTGTTAGGAGAAAAGCAGGGTGAAGGGTGGGGTTTCCAGGCAGAGGAAAGGGGTGCAATGGAGACGCGGTGGGAAGGGGTGGGGGAGTGTCTCTCAGCACAGGATAAAGTGGGAGGGGTTTCTTATTGGCAACATCACCTTGCTTGGGTGGAGAATGGACATAAACAGTTATGCCCAGATTTCAAGACCCCCCAAAGATCCACCAGGGAGCACCAAATCCGATGCAAAAGCAGAGAGTCTTTTATTCAAGCTCGCTTGGTCCCCCCACCCCCCGCCTCCATTACTGGATGCAAGAGAGAGCCCCGAGTCCCAAGAGAACAAAGAATTTATAGGGCTTGGGGTCAGGGGGTGGGGGCACACTCTGACTACTGATTTGGCCAATTCTGGTTGGTTGAGTGAGGGCCAGGGGCTAGTGATGCAAGGCAGGGTGCAGCTAGGGTCTGGTTACACAAAGACACGAGCAGTGGCTAGCATACTTTTGGCCTTGGGCTAGTTTCCCCCGCTTTCCCATTGGCCGAGATTAGGGCAGGCTGAGTAACTGATACATTCTGCAGCTTTTTCTTGGAAGAGGGGTTAAGGACACAGCTATCAGTCCTGTTCTGTCCTTTCATTGCCCCCTTGTCTTGGAACTCCGGCTCAATCATGAGACGGACTGAATTATCAACTGAACTACTTTTATATACTTCTTGACAAATTGGACTGGTCTGTTAATAATGCAAGGGCTAAAAGTCAACAGCATCAGGAGGATTACAAGGGGTCTGCTGAGGTCCGCTGTCTTCTTGAGAGTGATCTGCAGCTGTTGTGTCTAGTCAGAGGTCACCTTCCAGTCAGGCTCCCTGCTGTCCTGGGCACAGAAGGAGCTGGGCTTGTGACCTGGCAGAGACAAACTATAACAAATGGTCCAGTGGAAGGGAAAGAAAACATTTCAGTTTTAATAACCTCCATTGAAATAGAGTTTTTCTTCCTAAAAATTCCTCTATGGCTATCAAAAAGCCACATCAAGATTAATTTATCTACTGCATTCAGTTTGGCCTGATGTTTGCATAAACACAACAAGAATGGTAACTGACTAACTTTGCTGGAATTTCATGACTGAATCTTAATGTGCCCCGTAGGACCAGGAAGCCAAGCCATCCAGATGCCTTCAGGCCTGCCTGCAGTATCTGTTG